GTCAGCAGGCGGTTTTGCAAGGGTTGCTCGTTTTCTTCAAATCCCAAAGCCCGCCACTGCGGCCTCCAAGGCAGAACCTCCAACGCCGGCCCCAGCGGCTTGAGGGGTGCGCGGCTGGGTTTCGAGCTTCCCGGTCCCAAGTCCAACTAGGAAACCACCACACCCAAAAACAAAAACAAAATTAAAACCAGAGATTGCCAGATTGCTTTCAATAAATAATCGGCATCGTAGGACATCATTGCAATCCCAAATTCCTGAAAGACTTACACTAGTCGCCCGACCTTTGTAGCACATGCCATGTTTCTGAACCAATTAAGCACCAAACAGCTTTCCATCACAGCCTTAAATCCAAACTCCAACAAATTGGACCAACACTGAAGTTGGCAAGGGTAGGTAAAATATACTGTAGATGGCTGATGCTAATGATGACATTTGTTTAACTCAAGTAACTCAGTATTCATCTCAGCATGCCAAGCCATGGCCAGGTACTCAAATCCAGCTACAAGAAAGGGGACGCCATTCAGGGTACTCAGGGTGCAAGGGGCAGGGCGGTGGGAGCGGCCAGAATCCCAGAAGGTCATTTGAATCCCCAGTCCAAATTCCCAAAATTACCAAGATCAAATCATGGCACTCTCAAGTTTCAGAATGAAAATCCACATCTTCAAAATCGATGTCGATGATGGTGTTGATCCCCAAGATCGATGTCGGTGAGGGCTTGGATACCAAAAATCAATGTCCGTGAGGGTTTGGGTCCCCAAGATCGATGTCGGGGATGGTTTGAATTCCCAAAATCGATGGCGAAGAGGGCTCATAATTTTTCAGAAGCCCAAAGTCAATGTACCAGATGACATCTGGTACATTGATTTTGGCTATACTTGGTGGTCCTGATTTGAGAAAAGTCGCTCCACAGTCGGAAAAATACCATATCTTCGACATTGACTTTGACTTGGGGGCTCAACATAAAAATCAATGCACCAGATCTCATCTGGTACATTGAAAACCTATGGTTTTGAGGGTTGAACATTGATTTGATTTTCGGTGCACAAAAATAAGATCAATGCCGAGGCTTCCAAACCATAGGTTTTCAATGTACCAGATGAGATCTGGTGCATTGATTTTTATGTTGAGCCCCCAAGTCAAAGTCAATGTCGAAGATAGGTATCTTTCCGCCTGTGGAGCGACTTTTCTCAAATCAGGACCACCAAGTATAGCCAAAATCAATGTACCAGATGTCATCTGGTACATTGACTTTGGGCTTTTGAAAAATTATGAGCCCTCTTCGCCATCGATTTCGGGAATTCAAACCATCCCCGACATCGATCTTGGGGACCCAAACCCTCACGGACATTGGTTTTTGGCATCCAAACCCTCACCGACATCGATTTTGGGCATCCAAACCCTCACCGACATCGATCTTGGGGATCAACACCATCATCGACATCGATTTTGAAGATGTGGATTTTCATTCTGAAACTTGAGAGTGCCATGATTTGATCTTGGTAATTTTGGGAATTTGGACTGGGGATTCAAATGACCTTCTGGGATTCTGGCCGCTCCCACCGCCCTGCCCCTTGCACCCTGAGTACCCTGAATGGCGCCCCCTTTCTTGTAGCTGGATTTGAGTACCTGGCCATGGCTTGGCATGCTGAGATGAATACTGAGTTACTTGAGTTAAACAAATGTCATCATTAGCATCAACCATCTACAGTATATTTTACCTACCCTTGCCAACTTCAGTGTTGGTCCAAATTGTTGGAGTTTGGACTTAAGGCTGTGATGGAAAGCTGCTTGGTGCTTAATTGGTTCAGAAACATGGCATGTGCTACAAAGATCGGGCGAGTGTAAGTCTTTCAGGAATTTGGGATTGCAATGATGTCCTACGATGCCGATTATTTATTGAAAGCAATCTGGCAATCTCTGGTTTTAATTTTGTTTTTGTTTTTGGGTGTGGTGGTTTCCTAGTTGGACTTGGGACCGGGAAGCTCGAAACCCAGCCGCGCACCCCTCAAGCCGCTGGGGCCGGCGTTGGAGGTTCTGCCTTGGAGGCCGCAGTGGCGGGCTTTGGGATTTGAAGAAAACGAACAACCCTTGCAAAACCGCCTGCTGACAAGTAAAGAGGAAGCAAAAAACAACATGTAAGTGTAAATTTCCCTTTGGATGCTGAACATTTTGTTCCCCCTGGTGGTGATGATTTTTGATTGTGATGACGCCGAACCATACGCAGGGACCCATATCTGTGGAACTGTTCGGTGATTTTTTTGGTGTCCCTTTTTGATTGATGGTCTTTATGGAAAATCTATACAAATTCTATCCCAACATATTTCCAAATAATCCTTTATTAAACCTTATTATGTTCAGAAAAACATTGCCCAACAGTGCCCAGCCAACAGGCTGGCCTTCTTTTCTTAATCACAAGCGGCTGTTTGCAGCGCAGTGGCCGGCAGTAGCCAGCGGCAGCTGGTGAGATTGGGGTTGCTTGGGTTTCATACCAATTTTTTGGGTCCAACTGCCGTGAAACTGGCCCCAGATACCATGAAAGTTACATATATATATATATCAGAGCACGATGTTGAAAGTTTTAAATGCAATTTAATTCCTCAACAATCCTCAACATAAATTTACCCAAGACACAGTCTTAGGCTTTGAATTTTTCAAGAAGATGGGAATATGAAGGTGGCTCGTATACGAGACATTGGATTGTTGTGGATCCCGGTAGCATAACATTTTTTTTTTTTTTTGGGGGGGGCGTTGTTTTCATATCCACCAGAATTGACTGGAAAGCAAGTCGTCATTGGGTATATCGATATGATAAAAAGATCTATTTGGGATGTTTTGGACTTCATTTATGCTCACGGATTATCATGTATTATTACATATTTATGTCCCTTATGGCCCTCATGGATGATTTTCCAGTGGAAAGATAGGGATTTTCCATAGTCCATGGGGCTTAGCAACAAGGCCACCAGCTGTGCCTCCACTACCTGCGCATGCAGACTTACCCGTGCCGGCCTTGGGAATATCCTGTGAAGTCTGGGAAATTTCCTTCAAGCTTTGGGAAAAGTTTTGAACCGAGGCCCAAACCTTGCGGAACAGCAAAGCTCTGTTGCGGCCAACTCCAAATTTGCCACTTGCTTACAGCAGACTTTGATGTCAGGCGGTTCGACTGCAAAGTCCTATGCAGTGCTTCGCTGAGGTTGAAGGCCACATTTGAATCTGTACATCGTCAGCCGGAAGCTTGGAGATTCCCGAGAACGCGACAAACAGACAAAGCTAATTTCAACTCATTGAAACAAATCAGACAAATCAAAGAGATGCAGATAATTGCAGATACAGATTCATATGCACAATTATGATCAATTATGCATCACTGGCATCGCCAGAATTTTGGATCCTGAAAGATCTGAAATTCAGGGCTTTTCAGCTGCCACTGTGCAGGTCACCAGGTGAACTGTGGTTGAAAGAGCGAATTGCCGCCTTTGATGCAGGGAACCGGCGAAAGCGAAAGGAGGCAGCCAAGCTAAAAATGCTGAGAACAGCCAGCTCCCAGCAATCCCTGATGCATGTTATATCTATTTGACGTGAGTTTGCGCTCTTAGCACCTCATTGTGACATGAATCTGATGTGATGATCTGGAATGATCTGGAATGAGGCAATCAGAGATTTTTCGGAAATCTTTCTTTCAGTTCAATGCCAAAATGCGTTCAACACTGTCACAGGTCCTAAAGGAATTTCTGGAGTTCGTCAAGAGCAGCTCCCTGTTCGGCATGGAGGACTGCTACAGAAGATGTTATCCATTTTGCAGTTGATGATTTATTTTGGATATTTTGCACAAGGACTTTGGGCCTTTTGGACCATGAAGGTATCCACGGAAATTGACTGACTCAGCCTTAGGCCTTAGCCTAAACATGTTACCATGTCACTCTGAAATTTATGCCAGACACGATGCTTTCGGTATGCAAATATGAAATTCACGACAACCGTGGGCATAGTCGCTATGACATCCACCATGCTAATTTTCCCAAACAGATCACCATAGATCACCATAGGTCACCATAGATCACCATAGGTCACCATAGGTCACCATAGATCACCAGCATCAATGGGTTCCAGCAGATCAGCAGATTTCAGCAGATTTCGGCAGATTTCAGGAGCTCTTTTCGCAGGAGGCCCATCTGTTTCTGGTGCGGCTCACCTCCTGGTTCTCGGTGATGCTGCCCTTACTCTACGAACTGCCACTGCAGTTGCCCCTGGGCAGATCATGAAAAAATTGGTGATGTTTTTTGGGTGATGAAGATGATAGAAATATATAAAAATTAAATAATAATATATATATATGTTTAAGAAGATGCTTAAGAAATCCTAAAGATGATGTTGCAATATGTTGCATGCAGTTCAGTTCTGTTGCGGCATTGGGAAGTCATCCGAAGGAAAGTCTTCCTGGTCTTCCTGGAATTCCGCGAAGCGTTCGGCCCTCAGGCACCTGGTGGACAACCTTTGAGGAACCAAAGTGTATCCAAAGTGTGTCTGAAGATGTACCCGAATGTACCCCAATTCATAGCTACTTGATGCATCGTTATGCCACTTACTGTAATGGGGAAAGTATGGGAAAATGATGGCAAAAGATGGCAACACAATGCAAAACATTGTTTTCTCAGGTGCCTGTGATACCTACCATGTCTGGACAAATCGATTTGTTTAGGTGCATCGTTCGGAACTTCTTCGAGTCCGGCACTGTAGTATCGTTGATGAGAGACGCTCGGGCAGCACTAAGATTCTAGATACGCGGTGAGATAGCATATTGTGTTATTGTGGGTTGCATCCCTTCTACATGTTCAAGATGATACTGACCAATCCGCATAGTCCCATAGAAAGAGTTGGAACATGTTGGAACATGTTGGAACATGTTGGAACATGTTGGAACATTAACATGTTGGAACAACAGCGTAAAGCTATATGTAAAGCTGAAGAAGTTAATTATATAATTACATTATATATATCACATTTTTCAATTTTTCCATATATTGTTTTACTTTTATTTTAAGTGGGTCATAGTGGATCCATGTGGATCCCAGCTGCCCAGACCCTGGCCACGGACTTCGATGTGCCGGATGACGTGCGGTGCCTGGCGGCCACTGGGCGGAAAACAAGCCGCCAACGGTTGATGAATCGAGGTTTCCCATGGTTTCCCCCCTATGAAAACCAAGGATAATGGGATATAATGGGATATAATGGGATATTATAATGATAATATATGTATATCATGATATACAGAGAGAGAGGGAGAGGTATGATTTGCGATGATTTGGGATGATTTGGGATGATTTGGGTGTAAGGATAGTACATGATACACCGAACTCGATTAAACCGTTCCCGCTTTTCCCTCTATCTCTAGTACTAGGGAAATCTTGTTTACATGTGTGTACATATGGTTCTGAAGGTGTGACAAGCTCGCTCGTCAGTTGGCGAGCCAACTGGTGTTGGAGTTGAATTCTGGAGAATACAGATCTTCATATTGTCTTTTGGAGTTGAGGTGCTGGTGCTGCACCGCCTTGTACTTCACGGACGGACACACAAAGAGGCGACAGGGAAAGCTCAGCTGAGCTGGTCTTGAGATCCAATTCCATCATTCCATCCGAATTTTGCATAAACTAAGTTGACTTCACGTCTTCGTCACTGGCAGGTGCTTTGTTCGAAAGGCCTTATCTCGTACTTGGTTGATCCTTGGCTAAGCCAGGGTGAGGTGATACTGTGATACTATTGCAATCTGTCTAGACCCGTGTAGATATCTGAAACTCAGAAGGATCCTGGTTGCTGGATTCACAGCTCTGAGCTTCCTGATTGTAGTTGCATACGCTTCTTATCCATGCGAAAGTTCTACTGAAAACAGCTTTCCCGCAGTCATTTCTTTGGAAATTGTGCTGTTGAGGAATGCATTTTGGACGGCTTGAAATGGGAAACCATCAAGAGTGCTGGCAGCTTGCTCTGCGAACTCTTTCGGTCGAATCCCAACTATCAGGAGCCTGGGGCTGGCCTATGGCGGATGTAGAAGCGTGTTCTTTGGGTAAGGATGATGGGCTCAACAGCCACCTGACCCTAGAAGTGCAGTGACTTCTGATTTTCTTGTCGCCATCCCCGTTGCGAAATGTGATGATGGTTGTGGCCCACCAAAGCTCAAAATGACTGGCACTTTCTTCTACATCTTTCTACTCATAGCATCTCGTGGCCAATAGGCCAATAGGACCGACTCATTCCAAAACACCGACCATCCAATGACCTTTCGCCGCCAGTCTGATGTCATGGTCGCATTGCATTTGCTGCTTGTCCCGACGAAGCCCGCACTGGCACAGCGGGTATCTCTGGCGGCACTGGCGCAGCTGGTGGATGAAGATTATGCAGGCGCAGTTTTTTTGGATGAACATTGATAAGTATTGATAACCCATAGGATCCATGTATGCTATATATACATTAAGGGCTGCCGCCCCTGCCCGACCCCGGTAAAGAATCGGGGATTGCTGGTGAAACAGGCAAGCTGTGTGACGAGAAACTTTGGCAAATGCATTATCACAAGCAAGAAACCAGCAGCCAGACACCTTTTGTAAAACACAACCGAAACAGCAAAACACCACCTAATTTCGTGCCGAACATAACGCAAAATCAATCACAATAATAGGTTTTCGGGGGCCGAAACGTCCCTTCTGAAATCCTACTAGAAATCCAATTTTGTCCAATAGAAATCTAATTTTAGTCAAATTTGATTGATCGCTAATTTTGATTGCTGCTGCTACCTCTAATAAAGCAAGAAACCAGCAGCCAGACACCTTTTTTAAAACACAGCCGAAACAGCAAAACACCACCCAATTTCGTGCCGAACATGACGGAAAATCAATCACAATATTAGGTTTTCGGGGGCCGAAACGTCCCTTCTGAACTCCTACTAGAAATCCAATTTTGTCCAATTTTGATCTCTAATTTTGACTGCTGCTGCTGCCTATAATAAAGCAAGAAACCAGCAGCCAGACACCTTTTTTAAAACACAGCCGAAACAGCAAAACACCACCTAATTTCCTGCCGAACATGACGCAAAATCAATCACAAGAATAGGTTTTCGGGGGCCGAAACGTCCCTTCTGAAATCCTACTAGAAATCCAACTTTGTCCAATAGAAATCTAATTTTGTCCAATTTGATCTCTAATTTTGATTGCTGCTACTGCCTCTAATAAAGTAAGAAACCAGCAGCCAGACACCTAATTTCGTGCCGAACATGACGCAAAATCAATCACAATAATATACCAATGTTTATAGTTTTCGACCAATGTTTATACCACTGTTTGTTGCTGCTGTTGCCTCTAATAAAGCGAGAAACCAGCAGCCAGACACCTTTTTTAAAACACAGCCGAAACAGCAAAACACCACCCAATTTCGTGCCGAACATGACGGAAAATCAATCACAATATTAAGTTTTCGGGGGCCGAAACGTCCCTTCTGAAATCCTACTAGAATCCAATTTTGTCCAATTTTGATCTCTAATTTTGACTGCTGCTGCTACCTATAATAAAGCAAGAAACCAGCAGCCAGACACCTTTTGTAAAACACAGCCGAAACAGCAAAACACCACTAATTTCGTGCCGAACATAACGCAAAATCAATCACAATAATAGGTTTTCGGGGGCCGAAACGTCCCTTCTGAAATCCTACTAGAAATCCAATTTTGTCCAATAGAAATCTAATTTTAGTCAAATTTGATTGATCTCTAATTTTGATTGCTGCTGCTGCCTCTAATAAAGCAAGAAACCAGCAGCCAGACACCTTTTTTAAAACACAGCCGAAACAGCAAAACACCACCCAATTTCGTGCCGAACATGACGGAAAATCAATCACAATATTAGGTTTTCGGGGGCCGAAACGTCCCTTCTGAACTCCTACTAGAAATCCAATTTTGTCCAATAGAAATCTAATTTTAATCAAATTTGATCTCTAATTTTGATTGCTGCTGCTGCCTCTAATAAAGCGAGAAACCAGCAGCCAGACACCTTTTTTAAAACACAGCCGAAACAGCAAAACACCACCCAATTTCGTGCCGAACATGACGGAAAATCAATCACAATATTAAGTTTTCGGGGGCCGAAACGTCCCTTCTGAAATCCTACTAGAAATCCAATTTTGTCCAATTTTGATCTCTAATTTTGACTGCTGCTGCTACCTATAATAAAGCAAGAAACCAGCAGCCAGACACCTTTTTTAAAACACAGCCGAAACAGCAAAACACCACCTAATTTCGTGACGAACATAACGCAAAATCAATCACAATAATAGGTTTTCGGGGGCCGAAACGTCCCTTCTGAAATCCTACTAGAAATCCAATTTTGTCCAATAGAAATCTAATTTTAGTCAAATTTGATCTCTAATTTTGATTGCTGCTGCTGCCTCTAATAAAGCGAGAAACCAGCAGCCAGACACCTTTTTTAAAACACAGCCGAAACAGCAAAACACCACCCAATTTCGTGCCGAACATGACGGAAAATCAATCACAATATTAAGTTTTCGGGGGCCGAAACGTCCCTTCTGAAATCCTACTAGAAATCCAATTTTGTCCAATTTTGATCTCTAATTTTGACTGCTGCTGCTACCTATAATAAAGCAAGAAACCAGCAGCCAGACACCTTTTGTAAAACACAACCGAAACAGCAAAACACCACCTAATTTCGTGCCGAACATAACGCAAAATCAATCACAATAATAGGTTTTCGGGGGCCGAAACGTCCCTTCTGAAATCCTACTAGAAATCCAATTTTGTCCAATAGAAATCTAATTTTAGTCAAATTTGATGATCGCTAATTTTGATTGCTGCTGCTGCCTCTAATAAAGCAAGAAACCAGCAGCCAGACACCTTTTTTAAAACACAGCCGAAACAGCAAAACACCACCCAATTTCGTGCCGAACATGACGGAAAATCAATCACAATATTAGGTTTTCGGGGGCCGAAACGTCCCTTCTGAACTCCTACTAGAAATCCAATTTTATCCAATTTTGATCTCTAATTTTGACTGCTGCTGCTGCCTATAATAAAGCAAGAAACCAGCAGCCAGACACCTTTTTTAAAACACAGCCGAAACAGCAAAACACCACCTAATTTCGTGCCGAACATGACGCAAAATCAATCACAAGAATAGGTTTTCGGGGGCCGAAACGTCCCTTCTGAAATCCTACTAGAAATCCAACTTTGTCCAATAGAAATCTAATTTTGTCCAATTTGATCTCTAATTTTGATTGCTGCTACTGCCTCTAATAAAGTAAGAAACCAGCAGCCAGACACCTAATTTCGTGCCGAACATGACGCAAAATCAATCACAATAATATACCAATGTTTATAGTTTTCGACCAATGTTTATACCACTGTTTGTGCAATGAGACATAGAACCCTCCTGTTGCTCCTGTTGCTGCTGCTGCTCATGGCCACCACTTGAAACGCTGAAACGCCACCTAATTTCGTGCCCAAAACGCTCCAAAATCGAGCCCAAAAAGTGCCTAACGTCCCTTCTGAAATCCTAGAAAAAAAAAGAACTGCCTTTGTGATGATAACCGTCTTGTCAAACACCTTCTATTTCCTCCTGCTGCTGCTGCTGCTCCTGCTCCTGTGACTCCTTCTGTTCAAAAGGCACCTGCCGGATGGGAAAACACCATGGCAGTAGTAGTAGTAGTAGTAGTAGTAGTCCGAAACAAGAGTCAAAAGTATTATTCCCTGGCACGCTCCCCCTTGCGTCTGCCGGGGTCGGCGGATATTGACTGCTGGCTACTGGCTGGGTGCTGCTGTCTTATTCCCTAACGCGCTCCCCCTTGCGCACTGGCTGGGTGCTGCTGTCTTATTCCCTAACGCGCTCCCCCTTGCGCAGCCGGGGTCGGCGGATATATGGTAATATTTACCATCAATATACCCCCAATCTGCCCCCAATGTTAGCATATATACCATACATGGATCCTATGGGTAAGTATTGATAAGTCCTGAACCACGTCCATGTCACCTGTCAACCCCTTTTTGGTGATGATTCCCCTCACTGACCAGTCATCGCTTTTGTCTTTGGATGTCTTTGGGACGGGTTGAAACCTCCAGCCAGAAAGAAGGAGAAGAAGTAGGAGAAGAATGTCAAGCATTCGAGTAGCTCAGGGTGTGTCATCTTGCTGTGATGCCAGAAGGGCGCCTGCAAACTCAAGACGTACGTGACTGACACTTGCTTATGCTGCCTGTGAAGGTTCAGATTGGCCGAATCAGCTCATTCCCCAACTCCTCATACTCTTGGAAGGCCCAGCAGGGCCATGGGGTTTTATACATCTTCACATGGCTTCACGATCTTTCACTGTTGTGCAGTAACCAGCACTTGCCCTGAGGTCGAGACTTGAGAGTGAGTTGCTGCCTTAGAGCTTTCAACACGTGCGCGATGCTTCTTGAACCGACATCCACTCACACCCCAGCCTTTTCCCACAGAAAAGCCAAATGTCTGGCCGCAATGCCGACTCATTCTGACTTACATAGCTAAGTGATGCTCAGTGGATTTCATAGGTGAATGATGGTGAATGTCAATGAGACATCATGTAGGTGCGGATTCCTACTGCCTCCTATGTAGCTTGGTGCGGCGCTTCCGCTGCGATACCATGCTTTGGGACTTTGCGCGGCAACTGAACCAGCCGCAGGACTGCGAGGGGACACGGTTGCTCCAACCTACATGGGTAGAGTTTTTTTACAGATGTTGAGAGCCATTTTCAAAGGTTCAACTGGGGATGTAACCAACATCAAATCACGCATGTCGGCTACAAATTGCCATTCAACCTGGATAAACCTGAAGAACTATGCTGGGTGAAAGGGTTTCTTTAGGGCGATGATAGACACACTCAAGTAAGTTTACCTTTCCTGGCGATGTTTTGACCCCTCTATTTCTCCAGGACGTGGACGCTTGGGCGGTGGTGGAAGTGGCCGCTGCTTGGATTTGCTGAAGCCAACAGACATGGGGAGTCTCCTGGGCATCCACCCCCTAAATTTAACAAGGACCCCTAAATATTCCCAATATTGGGTATGGAGAATTACAGTATTATTATATATTACTATCCTATTCGATGCGGCAATATTTTGATGATTTGGTTTCCAAGTTAAATGTATTCTTGATGTTGGCTTGCCATCTTAAGCAAATCCAAGGCTGCTAAAGCGCCAGCAGTGCAAGCACCAGAAAATCTGGCCAAAAGGCGGGCGAAACGTGGAGGATATTCGCGGGTATTTATTGATGATCACTACGTACAAATGATGCCGCCATAGATTGATCAATAATTGTCAGCTGTCAGCATTACCTGATCCAACTTCTAACCCACCCGAAGGTAGTTAATGTTGGGGGTGCTATGGAGGACTACAATCGCCATACAGATGAGATCCAGGTCCCTGTGGGGATACCACGATTGTCATCGATGATCTATGATTGACGGAGACAAACATTTCACAAAAAACTGAGGCCCAGCCCACTTTTGGCCGCAATAGTAGTCAAGAACGGGGCAGCAATAGGCAATTTTCGATATAACTTCAATCGGTTGTGCTTGAAGACACGTGGAAGTTGTTTGCTTCACATCGACCGGTCCCAAGAGTACGATAGTTTCCTTATGCCAATAGCATAGCAGCGGAAGGCTAAAGTTGCAAACGGACGCAGAGATTGTGCGGGTGTCCGGCAGCGAAGCTGCGGATTATGGCGCTTCATGCCATGAAGAGGTGCAAATTCTGGAAGCAGAATGGTTGATGGTTGGGGGGTATGACTACATGGATGCTTAAGAATGTTAATACTTCCAAAATACTTCCAAACAAAGTTCAAAAAACGGGATTTCTGCAAGACATTTTTGACCAGGTCTGACATGGTTTTGCAGATTTTCAATGTGTGGGAATGGATCGTTAAATGACTATAATGACTATCCAATATTAGCCATGTTAATCACCAGAAATTGATGGTTAAATAATGTACAGTAGGATTGTCAGGGTCCCAGAAAGTGCCCCAATTTTGAGCCCGACCCACAGATGATCCTCAGAGGCTGTGAGTGTGCTGAAGCTTTCGTTGGTGATGTTCCTGGTGAAGCGCAGCCAGGCCTGGCTTCGAGACCTTCAGATTTCAGTATTTTCAATGGGAAACCCAAATGATTATGAACATTAAATCATAGCTTAAGGGAAAAACCCTGGGTTTTGTGAGAATTTTCTCTTATTCACATCATTCACGTTGCGCAGTCTTGCCAGGACTTATGCAGGGAGTTGGTGAACAAAGGTCTCACTGAGTCTTTGCTGATGTGTTGGGACCTCAGTTGATGCGGAACCCGTTCCATCCCGTTGCTATGGGCTGGTGAGATTGCCAGGTCTCTTGGATGTCTCAAGACCAATGAGACAGGCTCGGGGCTGCTTGAGTTCGGCTTGGACCCAAGTCGTGGTACTGTATTTCTTTCGTTGCTGCATTCCAGTCCATCTCATCTCATCCTTTCCAAAATTGCTACCTTCCTTTGAATAGAATATATAGATATACGTATAATATGATATATACTTACACAAGATACACTTAAATATATAGATATAACAAAAATAAAGATAAATGCATTAAATACTCATATATAATGCGCATTATATTGCTTACATTTTCAATACTGCTATACATTATCATATATTTTAATCTGTGATCCCTTCGATGGAAATGATGCAATGACCGAAGGCATCCCGAACCCCACATTCTCGGCTGCGACAGGCAGCTGTCCTCACAGAACTACATCACCTGCAGCTGCTATCACCTCACGCCAAGAACATCGTCGAAACTGTGCTGGTGAAGCGTTACTCGTCCTTAGTCCTAGATACCCAAACCCCTCTATGAAATAGCGAGGGTCATGGCCCTGCATAAAACGTTTTATGTATGGTTTTTCTGTTGGTTGGACCCCCAATTTTATAGCGAAACCATGGTTTTGCATGATTCTGCTCAGAGTATGGGTTCAGGAGGGGGGGGCGTCAGAGATCCCTATTTTATAGAGGATATGTTTTTTCCAGTTTTGTTTTCTTTAATGGCAGGAAGGTACATGACATATAAATTTGGTGCATGTTTTTTGAATTGAATAGTTCAGTTAGATAATAGATTGTTGACCACGAGTAGATAAAATTTATCCGAAACCATTTGGCCAAACAAAGGTGTCCGATCAAATTCAGAAACTCGACATGAATCATATTGAATCATCAGGAGTCCATATAATAATTCAAAGTTCGGAACATGTTTAAATCATGGTTTTGATACATGGAACCTGCTGAATGACACAAATCCACATGAGTAAATATGAATAAACACGACCAATGTTTTTTTTGAACAAGTCTGCAAATTCAGAAGCCATCTCGGCTCTCACTCTTCCTCTCACTCTTCTGCAAAGTTCTACTTCCTCTACTATCCTTTCACATCTTTGCTACCATCTCTCTTGACTTCTTGGTTTGGGCAACCTCCTGCCACATCTTGCCACGACATGCCACGACTGGGCCCTTGCTGGCAGGGTGGGTCTCTATAAAATGGAGGGGTCTAACCCCCCACCTGCACCATAACACTATTGCTCTGTGGGAGAGCAGAGGAATTGGAGCAGCAGGGGTCAGAACCAGCACTCGGAAGCCATCTCAGCACACTCTTCTGCAAACTTTTACTTCCTCTACTATCCTGTCACAACTTTGCTACCATCTCTCTTGACTTCTTGGTTTGGGCAACCTCCTGCCAGATCTTGGCACGACTGGGCCCTTGCTGGCAGGGTGGGTCTCTATAAAATGGAGGGGTCTAACCCCGCACCTGCACCATAACACTGTTGCTCTGTGGGAGGGAGGAGAGGAATTGGAGCAGCAGGGATCAGAATCAGCACTCAGAAGCCATCTCAGCTCTCACTCTTCGGCAAAGTTCTACTTCCTCTGCTATCCTATCACAACTTTCCTACCATCCCTCTTGACTTCTTGGTTTGGGCAACCTCCTGCCACATCTTGCCACGACATGCCACGACTGGGCCCTTGCTGACAGGGTGAGTCTCTATAAAATGGAGGGGTCTAACCCCCCACCTGCACCATAAGCAGGGGTGGATCTCTATAAAATGGAGGGGTCTAACCCCCCACCTGCACCATAACATTGTTGCTCTGTGGGAGAGAGCACGGGAATTGGAGCAGCAGGGGTCAGAACCAGCACTCAGAAGCAATCTTTCTTCTACTTCCTCTACTATCCTTTCACAATCTTTCACATCTTTGCTACTAATTGCTACCATCTCTCTTGACTTCTTGGTTTGGGCAACTTCCTGCCACATCTTGCGATGATTGGGCCCTTGCTGGCAAGGTGAGTCTCTATAAAATGGAGGGGTCTAACCCCCCACCTGCACCATAAGCAGGGAGATCTCTATAAAATGGAGGGGTCCAACCCCCCACCTGCACCATAACACTGTTGCTCTGTGGGAGAGAGCAGAGGAATTGGAGCAGCTGGGGTCAGAACCAGCACTCAGAAGCCATCTCAGCTCTCACTCTTCTGCAAAGTTCTACTTCCCCTACTATCCCTTCACAATCTTTCACATCTTTGCTACCAATTGCTACCATCCCTCTTGACTTCTTGGTTTGGGCAACCTCCTGCCACATCTTGCGACGATTGGGCCCTTGCTGGCGAGGTGAGTCTCTATAAAATGGAGGGGTCTAACCCCCCACCTGCACCATAAGCAGGGAGATCTCTATAAAATGGAGGGGTCCAACCCCCCACCTGCACCATAACACTGTTGCTCTGTGGGAGAGAGCACGGGAATTGGAGCAGCAGGGGTCAGAACCAGCACTCAGAAGCCATCTCAGCTCTCACTCTTCTGCAAAGTTCTACTTCCCCTACTATCCCTTCACAATCTTTTACATCTTTGCTACCAGTTGCTACCATCCCTCTTGACTTCTTGGTTTGGGCAACCTCCTGCCACATCTTGGACGATTGGGCCCTTGCTGGCAGGGTGGGTCTCTATAAAATGGAGGGGTCTAACCCCCCACCTGCACCATAAGCAGGGGTGGATCTCTATAAAATGGAGGGGTCTAACCCCCCACCTGCACCATAACACTGTTGCTGAGAGAGCACGGGAATTGGAGCAGCAGGGGTCAGAGCCAGTACTCAGAAGCCATCTCAGCTCTCACTCTTCGGCAAAGTTCTACTTCCTCTGCTATCCTTTCACATTTTTGCTACCATCCCTCTTGACTTCTTGGTTTGGGCAACCTCCTGCCACATCTTGCCACGACATGCCACGACTGGGCCCTTGCTGGCAGGGTGGGTCTCTATAAAATGGAGGGGTCTAACCCCGCACCTGCACCATAACACTGTTGCTCTGTGGGAGGGAGGAGAGGAATTGGAGCAGCAGGGATCAGAATCAGCACTCAGAAGCCATCTCAGCTCTCACTCTTCGGCAAAGTTCTACTTCCTCTGCTATCCTTTCACAACTTTCCTACCATCCCTCTTGACTTCTTGGTTTGGGCAACCTCCTGCCACATCTTGCCACGACATGCCACGACTGGGCCCTTGCTGACAGGGTGAGTCTCTATAAAATGGAGGGGTCTAACCCCCCACCTGCACCATAAGCAGGGGTGGATCTCTATAAAATGGAGGGGTCTAACCCCCCACCTGCACCATAACATTGTTGCTCTGTGGGAGAGAGCACGGGAATTGGAGCAGCTGTGGTCAGAACCAGCACTCAGAAGCCATCTTTCTACTTCCGCTACTATCCTTTCACAATCTTTCACATCTTTGCTACTAATTGCTACCATCTCTCTTGACTTCTTGGTTTGGGCAACCTCCTGCCACATCTTGCGATGATTGGGCCCTTGCTGGCAAGGTGAGTCTCTATAAAATGGAGGGGTCTAACCCCCCACCTGCACCATAAGCAGGGAGATCTCTATAAAATGGAGGGGTCCAACCCCCCACCTGCACCATAACACTGTTGCTCTGTGGGAGAGAGCAGAGGAATTGGAGCAGCTGGGGTCAGAACCAGCACTCAGAAGCCATCTCAGCTCTCACTCTTCTGCAAAGTTCTACTTCCCCTACTATCCCTTCACAATCTTTCACATCTTTGCTACCAATTGCTACCATCCCTCTTGACTTCTTGGTTTGGGCAACCTCCTGCCACATCTTGCGACGATTGGGCCCTTGCTGGCAAGGTGAGTCTCTATAAAATGGAGGGGTCTAACCCCCCACCTGCACCATAAGCAGGGAGATCTCTATAAAATGGAGGGGTCCAACCCCCCACCTGCACCATAACACTGTTGCTCTGTGGGAGAGAGCACGGGAATTGGAGCAGCAGAGGTCAGAACCAGCACTCAGAAGCCATCTCAGCTCTCACTCTTCTGCAAAGTTCTACTTCCCCTACTATCCCTTCACAATCTTTCACATCTTTGCTACCAATTGCTGCCCTCCCTCTTGACTTCTTGGTTTGGGCAACCTCCTGCCACATCTTGGACGACTGGGCCCTTGCTGGCAGGGTGGGTCTCTATAAAATGGGGGGGGTCTATAACCCCCCACCTGCACCATAAGCAGGGGTGGATCTCTATAAAATGGAGGGGTCTAACCCCCCACCTGCACCATAACACTGTTGCTCTGTGGGAGAGAGCAGAAGAATTGGAGCAGCAGGGGTCAGAACCAGTACTCAGAAGCCATCTCAGCTCTCACTCCTCGGCAAAGTTCTACTTCCTCTACTATCCTTTCACATCTTTGCTACCATCCCTCTTGACTTCTTGGTTTGGGCAACCTCCTGCCACGACATGCCACGACTGGGCCCTTGCTGGCAGGGTGGGTCTCTAGAAAATGGAGGGGTCTAACCCCCCACCTGCACCATAAGCAGGGGTGGATCTCTATAAAATGGAGGGGTCTAACCCCCCACCTGCACCATAACACTGTTGCTCTGTGGGAGAGAGCAGAAGAATTGGAGCAGCAGGGGTCAGAACCAGTACTCAGAAGCCATCTCAGCTCTCACTCCTCGGCAAAGTTCTACTTCCTCTACTATCCTTTCACATCTTTGCTACCATCCCTCTTGACTTCTTGGTTTGGGCAACCTCCTGCCACATCTTGCCACGACATGCCACGACTGGGCCCTTTCTGCATACTACCGGAGCCTGTGTCTTGTTTGTCGGTGCTCTTTTTCAATAGAATGATCCTCCGGAGGTCCGACATTGCGTCGTACGGCCGGCAATTTTGATTTCACCCACTATTGTATAGCATCGTCAGACCTTAACTCAGACCGGGCCGAATAGGCCAAAGGCTGTGGGGAAAGCAATCTAGTTCCTCTTCTACCAATTTCATCCAATTTCTACCCTTGCATGTCCTTTCCATTCCTTTCTTCTATATTCTTCATTTATAAGTTAGCCATTCAAGCACGATGCAGCCTTATCAAAGTGGGACGGCAGTATTCAATACTCTGCGAAACCCTTCACACAATTGAAAAAAGAAGACAGATCAACGCGTAGAAGACATAGAGGAGAGTGAAACAAGGGGGAGTGGAATGGAATAGAATAAACACGGAAAAACTAGGCGTAGCAAGAGAAGAAGACATGAGCACAGGAGGAAAGGAAGAGAAAGGGGAGGAAAGAGAAAACAAGGCAAATGAGAAGAAAGAGGAGGGCGAAGGATAAAGGGAGAGGACCAGACAAAAGGATGTACTAGAGGTGCGCAAAAACGGCTTGCAACAAAAACATTCTCCGAGGGGAAAAATCAGCCGAAAGAAACACGGACAGGGAGCACGAGGCGATACAAGTAGATGAAGCAAGAATTCTTCATAACTTTAGACATATGGAAACTTTGGATCATTTGAAACTATTTGAGATACATGTTCTCATTTTGTTTGTGGTGAACTGCACTGTTTTTCAAAATATAACACCCAGATTGGGGGGGTAAGAGTTCCCAATTTCATAGACATCATGATTTGTATGGTCAAAGTTTGGCAAGGTTAGTGGTTAGACCCCTTATTTTATAGACTTGGGGGTCCGACGTTGGTGCTCAGCAAATTATATGCACCCTAGGGGTCAATGACACCATTTTATGTCTATAGAATAGCGAGCAAGACCCTCCCCCCCTGTTTGGAACATACATCTTTCCAGCACCTTCAACAACCATTGACAGTTGGATATAGGACATATTCTGCCAACCCCCCCTATTTCTGAAAAAAATCGCGTTACTTCCCAATGTTTGGTGAGTTAACACCATTTTTAACTCTCATTTAAATCCCATTGTTAGTGTATTTTTTAATTTTAACTGTGTATATATTAGACATTATTCCAATACATATCCCAGTCCATCTCCATCTTTATTGTCTTTACTGGTTCAACCGCATGAAATCACCATATTTTTCGCTGTTTCCACCAGGCTTTTACCGGGCACCGAGGCGAGATGTTGCGCGCCCTCACGGCGGAGCAGCTCATGGCGACCGCCAGCGGCGAGGACTTGGCCAAAGCACGGCGGAGGCTGCGGGCCATGCAGCGCAATCGAGGCCAGGTTTTGACCGGAAAAAACCTGGGTATGGCGGGAAGAAACGCCACAGATCCTCATATTATTACTACACCATTCTACTGTATACATTATATAGATTTATATATATATATATATTTATATAGATCATATATGGTTTCCTAGTAGCCATAATCATAATCATAGGGGTTAACGCTTGTGAAATGTCGGGTGTTCGCCGCCGTACAATTACTGTCCCAACTTCTGGGATGCCATGCTGCCAGGTGCTGCATTCAACACTTTGAAAGTGCAGCACTCTGCGGATGAACACGAGCTCCAACAGTGTCTTCAGCGGCAATTCTGGTCGGCGTGTTATCATTTGATCACCCCACTCAGGTTCCATTGAGTAATTGGGCTACAAAATAAGATAAAATATATAGTACACGTATGATTATATATGTCAATAGGATAAAACCGCTGGTACACCATCTCCAATTTTGTTAGACATGTCTGCTGGCAACCAGTCGAAATTGGATGATTTATATTAGTTTGTGATGACTTATGACTTGACTACAGTCCTCCAAAAGCACCTGTGCAATATAATTGCACTTATCCTGGCCTTGTAATTACATTTCTTCGCTCTCTCCTCTCTTTCTCTGAATATCTATGAGACAGCGGGTCAAAAGTGGGAGAATCCCAGTTCTCCAAGTTCTTCACACTTCCCCCCTTTCTCCGGCTTTGAGGCGAATCCTGGATCAGCAGATGGCAGATAGCCTGGGCATCAAAGGCCCCAGCAGCAACGCCTTCCTGACGGAGCCACTGGATGACACCGAAGTGGAGGCCGAAAAGGACGAGGCGCCGAGGAAATGGAGCAAAATGGGAGGTGAAAATGGGGTACCCCATTTAGCTCCTTTGAACATGGTAAAGTAAATCATCGTTTTCCTCATTAAAATGGCAATGAGGTGGAATTCTTCAGATAGACCCAAACGGGAAATTACCGAAAGTATATTCAAATATAATTGCGGCATTACTCCAACATAAATGACCGAAACTCACATTGACAAACCCATTTGATGATTGGGCAGCAGTTTGGACAGAGATGTTCTATGGTTCTGTTCTATGTCATGACTTTTCTGTTTTTGATATTCCATCTCAATCAGCAGGTGTTCTGTGGTTTGAAGCTTGATTGACTCTATGCCTTGTTGAACAAAGAAGCAGGGCTATGCAGATGTCGCCCAAGCCACAAGACTCGCGCACTGCAGCATGGGAGGCACAAGTGCCACGTGGAGGTAGTGGCTGCTACCCTGTAAGCCGGGTACCAGCAGGGTGGCCCAAATTGGCTGCCATGGAAGCCAGTTTTCACCTATGTAATTAGTCCCGATTTCGAGGCGACTTGGACAAGGTCCTATGTTGCAACACGTCCTGCATATGGCTATATATATATATATGGCTGGTTATGTTTTGTTATTTTCTTATGGTATATAATATAATTTATTGTAATTTCATAATGTCATGTACTTGTAGTGTGCTATTATACATGTTCTATCATGTTATGTAATGATGCTTATTCGTGTGGATTTGGCGTTGTGGTGCATCATATTGAATCTTATTTGGCCTCGAGGTTGGTAGCTCCTCCAGTGGCCCCGTGTCTCGTGGCACTGACCAGGGCGCCTTTGCTCGTGGGTAGCTCGTCGCGGCAACAGGCACTGGCAAGGTGCTGTAGCTCCTAATAGCATCACATGATGTGAAGAATTGTGAGATATTTGTGATACCCTCTGGTTATTTAACATAGCCATGTAAAATGGCCCATTTATAGATGGTTTACCTATTAACAATTGTGATTTTCCATGGCTATGTTAAATAACCAGACGGTAATTGCGCTTTTGATCGATAAACAACCAAATCAATGCCATATCGGGATCGGGATCTCCAAACATGAAATATACCTTAGGGGTACCATGGTCATCCATGGTCCATATTTCGTGCACATTTTTTGTGTTCAGTTCCTTGCGGGATATTCCCGGGCCTTCAGCGTCGCCAAGGTATGAGCTCGAACATGATATCAGAGAGGAACCAACCACGGAGCCTACGGTGTTGACGGTGGGCATTACAGAGGGGACAGACAGAACATGACAGAACCCTTCAACCTCAGATTATATCCCAGTCCCACAGCCACATTGAATCCCCAGAACATGTCCAAACAGAACCCCACAGAATGGGTATCATTAAGGGTATTATAATGTATTATATCATTTAGTTCCAAGATCCAATATAAAAAGACGCACGAGGTCCCCGACACTCCTAGCGCCATGCATTCTGCAGGCGCTTCGCAATGTGTTGAGCGAGCCCCTCACCCGAGAGTCAGCGGAGCAAAGCTCTTTGTTGACAGAGGTGAAGCAGTTGTGCCTCAGCGCCAGGTGGGAGAACGATCCGACGTGGATCCTTGATGCCTAATCTGAGAATGCGGAAGTTGCGGTTAAAACCTTGATAATTGCACATAATTACACACATTCTATTGGTTGATGGAGTTCATGGAGTCATTTTGGAAACCTGGTGTACCTGGTGACCATCCCAAAGATGAACTTCCACAATGGTGCAATGAACGGTGCTCGTTTATCCAAGCTTTTGTTCTATATTTTGTTCAGATTGGTTATGCCGTCTTCGTTTTCCATGTTTGGCCCCTTCAGGGGTGAGGCTTCGGACAGGGCTCGTTGTCGTTGGGTTCAGGCGGCCGCCGGTGCAGCCACAAGTTCCAGCGCAGCGTCACGAACACCCTTCCCTGCTGAAGGTCCAAGCCGAAGTGGCAGCGCATATGGAGAGATCCACCATGATCGGCCATGTTTTTGTTTCACCAAGTAGTAGGCTTTACGGGGGAGCAATGTTATGCCAATTTTTATCCAAATTTGATGTTTTTGATTCTACAAATAGCGACTTTTCCATCTATGTTAATTCACTTGAGGGTGATCGAATCCTGGAGTGACAACTGGCAGCCCATTGGTCTCATTACTCTCCTGGCATGGGTCAAACTTGTCACCCAAAATCAGCCTTTTGTGGGTCGATATGGTCCTTTGGTGCCCCAATGGCTGAACCCAAGATCTCAGGTGAGCAACACATACCCAACTTGGAGTATCAATATAATCGTTTGGTTATGAAATTATTATATTATTTATATTATATAAAATTAAATATTACCAAATTATCACCATTTATCGCCTAATCGTACACCCCTCCTACAGTTATCAAATCAGCAGCCCATTGGTCTAAGACTATATGAGTTTCCTCCAGTTACCCATTGATCCGACAGGTGGAAGAGCGATCAGTGCAGCATCGCCGCGCCCTGATCATGCGTCGTGCAGTGCGGCGGCGGCCGATGGGGGAAGCGTCAAAGGCGGGGGAGGCTGCAGCAAAGACGGATTTATAAAGCGGCTGGTGGCTTAACAATGGTTTGGAAAGGATAAAGCCGGATAAAGGTTAGAATGCCGTACTTTCATGTACTTTCTATATTGCCTTTTTTCATATCCAAAAAAATTGGCTTTTAAAAACCATCAAACCGATCAAACTTGGCAGCAGCCATGCTATGTTTGTTTTGACGGACCCTTGCCGTTTCTGTCGTTGGGCTGTCGTTTCACAACTCGCCAGGGATCGAGGTTTCGGAGTGGGGATGAGACACCAGCTTCGGAAGCGGATTCGGAGGCCACCAGCCTGGTCTGTGTGGCAGAGGCCATCCGGATCCATCCAGGGTCGGGGGATGAAATTCAGAACTCGAAAAAGATGTTTGGCAAATTGTTTGGCTTATGATGGATCAATGGATCTATATGGATCTATGAAAAAAAATCTACAAGCAGCTGCATCAGCTATGATGGAGCAAAAGACGGCAAAAGCTTAACTTCCACACCCTGCAGGCGCACGATACTGCTGCAATGGCACGCTCTGCTCAAAGTGTTGGCTGGGAGTGTGGGAGCCTAGCATCTAGAGTGTCTGACTCCATGAGAGTGGTGGGACTTCTGTGATAAACCATTATAAACAGGATTTAATGTCAACCCTGGATTAATAAATCCCTACTAGTAGGTTGTTTAATTGGGGGGATACCATTTAAGTATCAGATTATGATTATTTGGGGAGTACCCCTCTAATTGATAAACCATGGTTTATTAATCCGGGGTTGACATTATCCGATTTATCCTATCCATTCTAGATGAATTACCATGAGCATCCATGACCTCAGTGCGACGTCATCGGAATTTTGGTTCGGATTGGGGTAACTATGCCAAAATGGCCTTTATGACTGACCCAGATCCATGGAATGGATTATCGCATGCATATCGCCCATTTAAGTAGGCCATGTCAACGTTTTACCAAGTAGGTCCCATCCAAGTGACAGGTCGATAGGTCGCTACCGGACTCCCTTTTATGAGGCGAGTCTCAAGCGCCAGCGTGAAGCAGCCTCGAAAGGCTACCAGCTGGTGGGTGAACCAGCAGGGATAGGACCAACCATGAATGGGAATATCATGGAATATCAGCAAACATATCGGGATATAAACACATATAAACACTAACCGTTATGATTGCCCCCTTTCCATTGCAAGCTTAGCTTTGGTTGTTTGGATCCTCCATGGCTGATTTTTTGGAATGGGTCTAAACCGTCACTCAGTAAGGAAGAACGTATATATATATATGGTATTATATATATATATATATGTGGTATATATATATATATATGTGGTATATATATATATATATGTGGTATATATATATGTGGTATATATATATATGTGGTATATATATATGGTGTATATATATATATGGTAGATATATATATATTTATATGGTATATATATATGGGATATATAAATATGATATATATATATATGTATATATATATATATGGTATATATAAGTGTAAACATAAGTGTTGCCGGTTTCAGCAGCTGGCCTAGCCGACTTGTACAGCGCTGACATGTTGATGCCTTTGACTTCAAACTTACAACATGATGTATGTGCTGAGTAGGAGGTTTCTCTTGCACATGCTAGAGAGAAGGATCTCCTAGGGTCTCAAGCCTCAGATATGGCGTGCAAACTTGCACATTTTTTCTCAAACCCCCTGGTAAACCTTGGATGGGAATTTAGTATTTTAGTTTCAATCATTTGCCATAAATGGGGATAGGTACCCAGCTAATTTGGATATCCTGGATAACTGATGAATACCCTGGATAGATTCCAACCAGCAGAACCAGCCAATTACTTCACAGGCCGGTCATTGGCCGGAGATCTCCGTGGTGGATACTTCCATCGGGCCAGACATGTCACAGGACCAGCTGAGTCGAGGGACTGTCGCAAGTCTTTCGTGGTGCTTGTGGGACCATTTTTAATGTATAGTGATATACAGTGGACCTCCGGCTGGTATGAGTTCAAACACTGTATGCAGGCATCAATTGTCAAATGCAGATAAATTCATACATTGGATTGGATTATATAGTTTATATAGATTAGATTAGATTAGATTAGACAGACAGATAGATTGATAAATAGAGAGAGAGAGAGGTAGATTAGATAGATAAATAGAATAGAATGGAATGGAATGGAATGGAATAGAGTTTATAATAGATAGATAGATAGATGGATGGATGGATGGATAGATGGATAGATAGGATAAGATAGATAGATAGGATAAGAAAGATAGAAAGATAGATAGATAGATAGATAGATAGGACAAATCGAACAGATAGACAGATAGATCAGATAAGATTAGATTCGATTCGATTATATATATATATATAGACGGCTATGCAGATAGAACAGAACAGCACAGAAGAGAATAGAAGAGATAGAACTAGATAGACTAGATAGAATAGATAGATGTACTGTATGTGCTCCTGCGTA